GATAAGGAAAGCAACCTGAAACTTGCTTGTTGAACAATAGATTTTTTTTCTAAAAGAGATTTAAAGCAAAAAAATGTATTGTTCAACAAGCAAGTTTCAGGTTGCTTTCCTTGTTATGGATTTCTTTGATAATTTATTAATCGATTTTCTCTCTATAAAAATTTAGAATTTCTCTTTATGAAAAATATATCATGCAACTTATCTTGTACTTATATCAAATATATTTTATACTTTATAATTTACTGAGAGAACTTACCCAATCATTAAAATCCAGTGTGTCGATATTTTGCAGCGAAGTTGAGTTACGATCAATGTCATTTGAATTGAATAAATTTTGTGATTGCTTATCCACAACCACTTTTTCCAGAAACTGAGAAAGATTAAGAGCTTCCTTTACGAATACTTGTATCACATTCCGATAATAATTATCCACATTTTCGTGCGAAGTTTGCACGTGCCGTGCGCATATCTGAAAAATAAATAAAATTTCTGCAGATTTTTGACGAATTAACGAGTGTTAGATTATAGAATTAATGTAATTAAGAAATTAAAAATTACAATTTTTTTTTAATTTTAATTAGCATCTTCATAAAACTATTTTAATTATTTAGGAAAAATTAATCTCACACATTTTTAAATTACTTATAATTTATTTTTTATTCTTAATTATTACTTTCTTGCCAATTTAGAAATTATTGTTATGTTAAAAATTAGAAAAGAATCTAGCTAATACAAAAGAATCTCTAGCTAATACAAAATATTCGTGATTATCCCAAGTATAAGATCTGCGATAATAAAGTTTTAGAAATTAATTCATAAAATATTTTATTTTAAAAATTACAGACGTCACAGCTTATAGAAAAAAAGTCGCATGGTGAGTTTAAATGAAAAGAACGATGGTTCAGTATCATTGTAGATATCAAAAATTCTTTGATTTTTATTGCGGAATGTGCAAGAACATTGTCATGGAGCAGAATTCACCATAAGTCGATTTCGTGACGCGTTTACTTATATAAAGTTTTATAAGAATAAATCTGTATCGTCAATCAAATATTAAGTATTGAGCTATTATTTGTTTTCTCTCAAAATATTTAGAAAAATTTTGAATTAAATTAATATATCCTCAGGACATTCACCATACTCTTTCTGAATGTTTTTTTTTTTCCTGAGGATATTCTTATGCTATCCAGAAAAGAAAAATATAAATATACTCACTTGAAGAATGATTTTCAAGGTGCATATAGAATTGTCTGTGTATGATTTGATAATTTTAGGCATCATATAATCTTCCATATCAGTGTCACCCGAATCTCGTTCAATGCCTTCGTCATCAGTTTCCTGTAGACGTTCATCCATTTCGCCTTCAAATACTAAGAATACAATGTAAACAGTCTTTTATTCTTATTTAGGAGAAAAATTTGAATTCTTAACAACTTAAAATTCTATTTAAATGTATAATTGAATTTTGGTAAAAAAAGCATTGTAATCTATTCACCTTGGTTACAATTCGTCATCAATGTAATAAGAGCTTCTAAATCTGGTGATAATGCTATTTCCTCTCCTGCATTAGAGCCAAAATCTAAGGCCTTGAAAATTGCCATGCCTAATGAAAATATTGCCTATATAAAAAAAACAATTAAATTTAATAAACAATAAATGTTCTGCAAAATGTAATTAAATGTTTTATTATAAGTTGTATATTTACTTTTTCTTCGGAAACAAGAGATTGGTTGAAGCCTGTAATATCCCATCAATTATCTCCAATGTTGCAATATTAGTTTATAATTTTTTGATAAATTACCAAAACAATTACCTGCCGTGTTTTCAAGCCAGATATCTCCATCTTTGTGAAGTATAATTTGTGACAGTTCTGATATCTCATAGAATTTGTTTTCCATCGACTGTGATAAACTCTTAGCTATCTGATAGCACAATGCCCATGCTCGTTCTTGACTTATAGGGCTGTCAAACATTAATAGAATATCCTGAAGATTTAAACAACCATGTGAGTCTAGTTTACATTTAGGTCGTGCTGATGTATTTCCTTTTTTCTTCACTGTTGCTTGCGGCTCTTCTTTGAGTACAGTGGATCTTTTCTGATCACTGTCTAGACTCTTCTTAGAATTCGACATTGTGCAACTGTTTTCTATATACAGATATTAATTATGTAAATTTTGCAAAAACATTGATATCTCATTAGAAATTTGCTATTTTATGTCATATACACTTGTTAATATCTATTAAAATATATGACATTATAAACTTTTGTGTAATTGTTTACATTAAATAATAATATATGTTTATTCACAATTTTAAACAAGATGTTCACATTTTATATTAGAATTTTAAATTCATAAAAAATGTTGCTTTTAGCTTTAATCAAAATTATTGCCCTAGCTAACAAAGAAATATAAAAAATTGTTAATTATAAATAATTGGAGTAGTTATCTAAAATATGATTAAAGTATATGTAGAAAGTTTACAATATCGCGTATTTTAATTAAAGATTATCTGTAAACAAATTATAGCTATAATATTAATAATAAAAAGCAATATTACTCACATGTTAACATGGCTAGAAGAAAACTGATGTTTACATTTCAAGTATCGAAGTGTTTAGTCGAAAATTATCTTACTTCTTCGCATTATTCTGTGCCACTTATTCTTAAATTGTTAATTTTTTATCCTTTGTGCTTGCGATCGAACTGAATGAATTATAACAATAAATGACGTTACAAAGCACGCGCGCGCGTGTACACACAATACACTTTCTCTTTTCTTCACTCTATGGGCTTGTTCGTTTTAGCTGCACTGGGGCAGCTCTGGGTCTGCTCTAAACAAGATAATACAGGACAAACTATTTATCTGTCCTGTATTATCCTGTGTAGAGCAGACCCAGAGCAGCCCCAGTGTAGCTAAAACGAACAAGCCCAATCATTCATTCGTTCATCACTCACTTATTCGCTCACTGCCTCACTCACAATGACAGTTCGATATTTGACATTTTGAATCTCAAAATACTTCGAAATTTTGCCTTACATGATTGTTATCTTACATCACCGATCTTTTAATTCGCATCTTTACTGCTTACAAGATGGTAACAAATCCATGTCAAAAATTCTTAGTAGTGATTGGAACAAGCAATCGCACTTTGCACACTTTCAATATCGATATTTATTTTGTGTTTACGATTATGTTCCCAAGAAAATCGCAACAAGCGCAAAATCGCTCATCAGCTAAAACAATACATATTAACATTTTTTTTTATTGAGTGGATTCAGATCCGAAAGTGTTAATCACAATTTATCAGAAACTCGTGTTTGAGCAGAAAATCTTCGAATCTAGATTAGGTTAGTTCTAAGGTTTGTTCTTTATTGCCGAATTTTCTACACTATTCTACACTAGTCCTATATATCGCTACGCTCAGGCTGTGTTCCGAAATTCACTGC